TAGAGTGGCCAGAGAGAGCCCTGGCCCACCACCTTGCATCCTCTGGGACAGGTAGGGAGGGCTGTGGTGCCCTTTCCCTTTCACAGATGAGTAAACTGAGGCCGACCCAGAGGAGGCAAAGCCACTTGCCCAAGACACCAAGCTACTTGAAGACAGGTGGAAGGCTGAGGGCCAGTTACCCCCAGGCTATCCCACCCTCAGCTCACCCTCTCATTTGAACTAATGCCCCCCCCACCCCGTAGGTGCTGGGGAAGGACCACCAGGAATGACTGTGAAAGGGGTAAGCTCTGACACCATGCAACCCAGAAATTCAATTTGTACGTGTTTACCATCAAGAAATGAGAGCACACTTCCACACAAAAACTCATAGAAGAACGTGTGTAGTAACTTTATTCAAAATATTCTAGAAGATGATGAAGAAAACCAAGACAGACAAGGAGAAGGAAAAGAGGAAGAGAACAGGAAGAAGAACAGGAAGAAGAAGAAAACAGTTAACAACCTGGGGCCACCCAGGTGCCCATCAGCAGGCTCATCAAACTGGGGGCCATCCACTCCAGTGACTGGAACACTCCTTGCCAGTAAAGAGGGATGAACTGTCAGGACACACATCTCGAATGAGCCTCCTGAACACGATGGTGAGTGGAAGGAGCCAGATGCAGAGGACCATCCCTGCGTGGTTCCGTCTACGTGAGATCTCCAGAGAAGGCCAAGCTGCAGGCAGAGGAGGAGGACCAGTGGTGCCAGGGCCAGGGCTGGAGGAAGGGACTCACTGCAAAGAGGGTGAGGGGAACTCTGGGTAAGGAAAACATTCTACATTTGACTGTGGTGGAGGTCACACTGCTGTACACATTTGTCAAACTCACATAATTCCTCTGAACCCTGTGGACTTTATGGTAGACAAGTTGTACCTCTGTTTTCCAAGTGGCAGAGTGAGGAGGTACGCAGTGACAACAGGTGGGCATGTTTTTCCAGGAAGGAGCGTGGTTCCCTGTCCCCACCTCTGTGACAGCAGAGCCCAAGCTTACCTGAGCTGGGTCAGGGGCCACTGAGATGCAAACCAGTGTGAGGGTGGGGACAAGGAGGAGCCCTGTGGTTGCACCTCCCAGCAACTGGGGGGCATGCTGGGTGTGCCCTGGGAAGGGAGGCCCAGGCTCTGCTCAGAAGATAGCCTCTAGGGCCTGGGATATCTCTCTGTGTCTGTTTCCTCACCTGGGGAATCAGTGTGGGGCTTCACCGGATACCATGGGCACTTCTTGGGTTTGCCTTCCCTCACAGAACAGGCAGGCATCCCAAAGGGCCTGGACTTGCCCTGGAGTCTGGATTCTGGGCTCAAAGGTTTGGAGTGGGTCCAAGCCCAACTCCCTCTAGGGCAGGCATTGCTCAGGGCTGAGAACTTAAGTCCTGGAAATGGAGACCTGTTCTCCCCATGTCCCCTCCCCCATCACACACACACACACACACACACACACACACACACACACACACCATCTTGCCTCATGTGGGCCTTTGTCAACCAGCTACCAGCTGGCTTGAGCAAGAGGCTATAACTCAACCAGGATGGGCAGGAAACCCAGGAACAATTTTACGTCCCAGAGGCCCGGAGAGTGAGGAACTGGGACAGCCCATTCCACTGCCAGCACGTAGTGTTGCCGCTCCTGTGAGTACATTCTGTGGGCACCCAGCACCCAGTGCAAGCTGTGAGGATGGCTGGGCTGCTACCCAGGACCTCTGGCTCCACAGACAGTGCCCCAGGAAACCTCACAGGAAAACCTGGCCCTTTGGAATGAAACCCTCCCCCTGCTCCACAACCTACTGTGGCTCCCTATTGTCCCTGGGACTTCCATTCCCCGTGTTTTGCCTCTGACCTCACTCGGGCCTCATCCCCCCCACCTGCAGGGGAACCGCCTCTCAGGCTGTCCAGAGCTGGGCACTGACTGGCAGTGTGTCTCTGAGGGCAGCCACACACTCTGCACAGGGTTACCTTATCACAGGCCCAGGGGGAGGGACAGCGAGGACCAGCCACCCCGCACACCTCTCCCGTGCACTTCGTTTCAGCCTTCTGAGAGTGTTCACTCGACTTGCTCTGTTGTGTGTTGCTCAGGCCTCTGGGTGGTAGACTGATCGAGGTCATTCCTCCTGTTTCTTTTTTTTTTTTTATATATTTTATTGATTATGCTATTACAGTTGTCCCATTTCCCCCCTTCACTCTCCTCCACCCTGTGCACCCTCTCCCACCCACATTCCCCCTCTTTAGTTCATATCCATGTGTCATAAGTTCTTTAGCTTCTGCATTTCCCATACTATTCTTGCCCTCCCCCTGTCTATTTTCTACCTACCATCTATGCTACTTATTCTCTGTACCTTTTCCCCCTCTCTTCTCCTCCCACTCTCCTGTTGCTAACTCTCCATGTGATCTCCATTTCTGTGGTTCTGTTCCTGTTCTAGTTTGCTTAGTTTTTTGTTTTTGTTTTTGTTTTAGGTGTGGTTGTTAATAATTGTGAGTTTGCTGTCCTTTTACTATAAATGCTTTTTTCATTTTCTTTTCTTAGATAAGTCCCTTTAACATTTCATAAAATAAGGACTTGGTGATGATGAACTCCTTTATCTTGACCTTATCTGAGAAGCACTTTATCTGCCCTTCCATTCTAAATGAAAGCTTTGTTGGATAGAGTAATCTGGGATATAGGTCCTTGTCTTTCATGACTTGGAATACTTCTTTCCAGCCCCTTCTTGCCTGTAAGGTCTCTTTTGAGAAATCAGCTGACAGTCTGATGAGAACTCCTTTGTAGGTGACTGTCTCCTTATCTCTTGGTGCTTCTAGGATTCTCTCCTTCATTTTCACCTTGGCTAATGTAATTATCATGTGCCTTGGTGTGTTCCTTCTTGGGTCCAACTTCTTTGGGACTCTCTGAGATTCCTGGAGTTCCTGGAAGTCTATTTCCTCTGCCAGAGTGGGGAAGTTCTCTTTTATTATTTGTTCATATATGTTTTCAATTTCTGATTCTTCCTCTTCTCCTTCTCGTACCCCCATAATTCTGATGTTGGAACGTTTAAAGATGTCCTGGAGACTCCTAAGCTTCTCCTCATTTTTTTGAATTCTTATTTCTCTGTTTTTTTTTCCTGTTTGGTTGTTTCTTTCTTCCTTCTGGTCCACTCTATTGTTTTGAGTCCCAGTTTCCTTCCCATCACTATTGGTTTCCTGTGCACTTTTCTTCATTTCTCTTATTGTAGCCTGCATATGTTCATCTAATTTGCGACCAAAATCAACCAGTTTTGAGCATCCTGATCACCAGTGTTTTGAACTGTGCATCTGATAGGTTAGCTATCTCTCAGTCGCCTAAGAGGCTGAGCTCTAGGGCTTTTATTTGTTCTTCTGTTTAAGCCATCTTTTTTTTTTTGGAGGGGGGTCTGGTCACACCTGTTACATATGAGGGGCAGAGCCGTAGATGTTCACCAAGGCAGGGCACCCCAGTTGCTGGGTTGTGACATTGTATGTGGGGGCGGGGTCGAGAGGGAACAATGGCGCTTGCTCCATTCTCCATGGGACCTCAGTCCCCTCTGCTGCTTCCCCCAAGCAAACTGGGCCCCTCTGGTGCCAGTTCCCATGTGGGTGGGCTTGTGCACGCCATGGGACCCTCCAGGGACCTCCTCCGTGAGGATGGATGTCTCTCCGTGCACCTCAATTCCCACAGATGTCCTCGGTCAGTGTCCCTAGGCTCTATTTCCCAGCGCTGTGATGCTGGGTTGCTTGCCCTGCCTTGCTTTACTATCTTGGCCTCACTGGGTCTGCCGGTTGCCGGTTGCCAACCCTGGGCCGGGGTCTGCCAACTGTCACCTGCGCACTCAGGGTCCACCCGCTGTGGTCCTGCGCGCCCCAGACACCTCACGCGTCCCCCGATGTCTTACACGCCGATCCCACTGCTCTCTGCTCTCTGCACTGCCACCAGACCCGCCTGGCTGCTCGTCCCTGCCCCCCCTACCGGTCTGGATGCACGGGTCTAATTCAACTTCTTGGTTGTCCCACTTCCATTCAGATCAATCTTCTATCATTTCTGGATGTTATTCTGTTTCTAAATTGTTGTTGTCCCTATCTTGGTTGTGTGTGGAGGTATGGTGCGTCCACCTATGCCTCCATCCTGGCCGGAACTTCCCTCCAAATGTTTCTTGGAGGGCGAGACAGAGACTGAGAGTGGACAAGCCCTAGCAGGTTGGGTTCCGTTGGTTGGGCATCAAACCTCAAAGTCAAGGGTCAGTGTTTTAATTCCCCATCAGTGTACATGCCTTGGTTGCAGGTTCGGTCCCTGTCGGGGCACAAATGAGAGACAACCAATTGATGTCTCTCTCACATGGATGTTTCTCACCCTCTCTATTTCCCTACCTTCCCTTCTCTCAATCAATCAATCAATCAATCAGTCTACTAACCAATGTGAAGGAGAACATGGAGGAGGAGAAGGAGGAGAAGGAGAAACAGCTGACTGCCGGGAGTGCCTGGTGAGGGCGACCCCACTGTGTGGAGGGCTTTTGCAGAGTTACGATTTTCAAGGGGAATTGGAACTTTATGGGCATTGGAACCCTGCTGACCTCAGAAACCAGCCAGCCCTGACACTGACCTGCATCCCTGTGAGTGTTTAACAAATGTCTGGCGCCCCCTGCAGGATCACCCGTGTAAGAGCAGGGACAGCTCAGCAGCATCCCCAGCTGTGCTGCACACTGAGTAGATCTCCTTAAGACCCTACTAGGTCCTCAAGGAGGAAGGTGGGAGGGATGGGAGGCTGCGTGGGGGGCGGCCCTGAGAATGAGGCACTGTCCTGGGCCCCTTGGCCTGCTGCCTCAGCCCGTGTCCTCCTGGATGGAGCAGCCGCCCCGCCCATGCCTGTGTTTTGCCCGCACATGCGCACACGGTGCACCCGCACACACGCGGCCTCCCGGAGTAGGTGGTGGTAAGTGGGGGAAGGCGAGACAGGTGAAACTGAAGCCTGGAGAAAGTTGCTTTCACAAGGATTTATTTTTCAGAGTCCAGAGTTGGACCCAGGGCAAAACAGACCCTTGGCCCTAGGGCACAAGAATCACCCCGGTCGGGGAAATCTGGGCAGTCTGGGCAACCTGGGCAACCTGGGCAACCTGGGCAACCTGGGAAATCTGGGAAATCTGGGAAATCTGGCAAATGCTCCATCTGGACTGCCAAGCCTGAAAGCCACCTGCTCCGTGTCACCCAGTCCGACACCCTGAACCTGTCAGAGCAAGAAACAGTCTCCTTGTGGGGCCGCACCCAGCGTCAGGACCCCTCCCGACCTGTGCACCCAATGTTCCTGGGCCGCCCCAGGAGCCTGTGGATCCAGTCGCCCTCTGGCAGTGACCTTCGGAACATGTGGCTGAATCCCTGCACCCATCAGCAGCAGAGGAAGCTGAGGCCCAGACATGCCCACTGGCTTCCCAAGGTCACAGAGCCCATCCCAGCAACACTCAATGGATCTTGGGCTGAACTCTCATCTCTAAGTCAGTGGCTCTCAAACTTCAGCAGGAATCAGAATCCACAGGAAGTCTTCTTCAATGGAGATTGCTGGGCCCCACCCCAGAGTGGGACTCAGCAAGCCTGAGTGGGGCCTGAGAACTGGCATTTCTCATCCTTCCCAGGGGAGGCCACCCTTGGGGAAGCACTGCTCTCAGGGCCTGCAGAGCCAGTCCTGCAGACCTGGGGCTCAGCCTGGGGGAGGAGCCCAGGGCAGGGGGCTCTCTGGGCCCTGGAAGGAGCAGTGGTTAATGGGTCCATGAGCATGTTCCATGCACCACCACCCATGGGCCCCTACACACAGAAGGGGCCACTCACCTCCGCACAGTTGATGTCAAAGTAGCCACTGGCCTGGTCCAGGGTGACTGTCCCCGCACACTGTTTCACCAGCTGAAAAGAGGAGGCTTGAGGTCAAACAGGAATCTCGGTGCTTTAACCCTCTGGGCTCACCCCCGAGTCTGGAACTGCCCTCCAGATGCCCATCGCTCAGCGTCTCGGGTGGCCCCCTGGGCCCCCCGAGCCCCACCTCACCCCGTTCTCCTTGAATTCACACTGCTCCGGCGGCAGCTGCGTCGTCCTGGGGCACAGGGTCTCCTGCACTGTGAAGCTCACCGGCTTCGGGGTGCTGGGGTTGTCGTCCTGGCCAGAGAGAGAGTGGGGAGACCCGGACTGGGCACCAGCTCGTCTTCTCTGAGACAAGGGGTGTCTGCCCCTGGCTGCTGTGGCTCAGAGGGCTGAGCTTCAGCCTGGGCCCCGAACTGCCACTCGTTTGCTTCCCACTCCCAGCACGCGGCTGCGTTGCGGGTGGGCCCCTGGACACCAGTCCATGTTTCTCTCCCTCTTTCTTTCTGCCTCCATACCCCTTTCTACAAAATAAAACATGAAATCTTTTTCTAAAATAGCTTATTTAAGGGAAGGGACTTTCAACAACCCAACTGGGTCCCTGGCACCAGGTTGGGTGCTGGGGGACAGAGGTGAGCAGGACAGAGCCCATTGCTGCCCTCCCCGGGCACACAGAGGGCAGGAGCGGACCATAGACAAGTTTGGGGAACCGAGGGAAACCAGGGGCCTCCTGCAGGAAAGGCATTGTCCCAGGCACCTCGGGCGGAGCGGGCCCATCCCTGTGTGGGAGACACGCAAGAGCAAGGGAAACTTGAAGCAGGGAGGTCACAGCCAGACCCAGTGACCCCATTCTTCTTCCCGGAACTCTCAGGAGTCCCTGAGGACTGAATGGGGGTGTGGAAGGGGCACCTCTTCGCACAGTATAGATTCTCAGGGAGGAGACTGTCCTCTGGAGGGACACAGCTCAGGAAGGTCTCCTGGAGGAGAGGGGTCACACTGAAAGGGAGGAGTGCCCCCCTGACCACAGGTCCTGCCTGAGCAAAGCCAGTGGCAGTGTGGCCCACCTGGCTGGCCCAGAGCCCCCCTCCTGGGCATCCTCCCCAACTCACTGCATCAGGCCTCTGCGGGTCCAGCTCCAGCAGGCGGTAGAGATTAGCTTCCGAGGACCGCTGGTTGTAGCCGTCCACGGCAGCGAGCACAGCCTCATTGTAGCTGAGGACCTGGGCAGTGGCTGGAGGCACTGCCAGGCCCAGCAGCAGTAGCAACAGTGACCAGCGTCCCCAGGGGAGGTTGTCTCTCTGGGTCTCCATGGTCCCCAGTCTGCCTCCTCCCGACCTGAACGACCCTCCTTTATGCCTGGGCCTGTTGCAACAGCCCCACCAGGAGCCTCCCTGACCTGCCCCATCCCTGGCCACCTGCCAGGTGTGGGCTGGGCTTGCCTCACCTCTGCCGTGGCCTCAGGGGCCTGCTGGACAGTGGGTGAGGTCTGCCTCCTGTGCAACCTGAAGAAATCCTTTCTCCATCTTCTTGACACCATATCGGCCTGTCCTGGGCCCCTCAGGGAAGTTTCATCTGGGGTTGCTCAAGGGAGTTGAAATATCCCGAGGAGAGGAAGGGAGTCAGGCCCAGCTCTGCATCCTCCCCCACTGGGACGGCCTCCGAGCCCGCCCTGTGTGGGGAATTCACCAGCAGGTCTTCCTCCCAGGCCTGCCCGGCGCCCAGCAGGCTCTCAGGTCAGGCTGGAAGAGTGAATGACAGTGACCACCTCCACCTGCAGCCTTACCCCCCAGCCAGTCCCAAGGGCGGCTTCCAAGGTCACTTCATCCTGCTCTGGACCCAGCCTTTGTCAGTTCGGCGGCTTGGGGACACGTGCCCCCTCTCCTGGGCTCTTCTCTACTGCTTTCTGGTCTGAAACTGTCCCTAGTCCCCACCAGATGTGGGCTGCTGCCCGGGCCCCTGCCCCGCCGAGGCCGAGGAAGGGCAGCCCACAACCACACTCCACTTCTTGGCTGTCCCACTCAGAGCCACTGCAGGCTGGCCAGCCCTCACTGGGGACAGTGGCCACTCATCCCTCGTCTTTGTCTACCAGGTGCTGGTGGCCTCTCTGTCCTCATGAAACTGCCCCTGTCCCATCCTGCCCTGAGGCTCCTTCCTGGTTCCTCCCCTTGTTCCCTGGAAGCTGCTTCTTGGTCTCCCCCAGCACCCTTCCCTTAACATGGAGGGCCTGCCCTGGGCCATCCTGGGCTGCTTCTCCTCCCAGGCCTCACATCTCCCTGGGGACACCCTCTCTCAGGCCACCAGTCACCAGGGACACACAACAGCTGGTGTGCATCTCTGAGTTCAGGACTTCCAGGGTTAGCCCTGGCAGTGCCCAGGCGGCTGGGCCTGCTGTTTGGGCAGGTGCCCACTGCACCAGCCCTGAGCTGAAAGGCTGGGGAGCAGCTGCCTGCCCCTCCATCCTCCTGGGGACACTCCCCTCGGACCTCTGCCAGAGCCCCTGCCCAGGCCCCTGCCCTGGCCCCTACCACCATCTTCTCTCCTCCTAGATGTAGCCACAGCCCCCAGACTCCACCTCCTCCAGGCTCCAGGCTCTCCCCAGAATGCACTCTGCTTCCTCACATTGTCCAGGGCTCCCCCAAACTCTGAGTTGGCCTTTTCACTCCCAACATGCAGGAGCCCACACCCCCAGGCTGGTGTCAGGGCCTGGCATCCTGGGGCTTCCCTTGGCCCTCCCCTGCACCCTGCCCTGCCCCAGGATTCTGACTGCCACACTCCCCCTGCCAGTCAGGCCCCTCGGAGCCTCCTGCTCAGGGAACCCTCTGCTCGGCAGGCCCTTCCACCTATACAGCCGCCCCTGACCTGCACCCCGACACAGCAACCGCCTCCTCCTTGCTCCCATAGTCTCAGGGGGTGTCCTCTGATTTGACCCCCCTCACTCCCTGTTCAGTGCTCTCATTGAGACACGAGGCTGAGGCGGCTGGTGCTGCTGGTGGAGAGAGCACCCCTGGGGGAGATATGGGCCCACGGGATGGAGGGGTCCAGAGGGCAGGAGGGAAATTCTGCTCCCAGCTCTCCTGTGGAATGAATGGCCATGTGGCCAGGAGGCCTAGGGTATCCTTTGGCCTCTGTGGGCCTGTGGGACTCCTGGGCACTTGGACAGGGCCCCTTGGAAGGTAGCGGCCTGGTGCTGGGGCCGCTTGCGCACTCAGCCTCGGGAGAAGGAAGGGGAAACAGGCCTGTGTGCAACCCGGTGTCATACCCAGGCATTGCCCCAGGGGGCTCTTGATCAATTCCAGCTTGCACACCGGGGCCTGTTGCAGGGTGGGAGGAGGGTCAGCACCCTGAGGACATTGGACCCCTCAGACCTCTCCTGCACCGCAGACCTTTCTTCTGGCTTCAGGGTCCCAAGGAGCCCAACTGGGAGGGAAGGAGGTTTCCATGTGCGTGTTTAGACCAGGGCATGAGACCTGCCCAGTCCTGCGTTCCTCCGGGTCACGTGCCGCACACGCAGGGGCCCCTTCCCAATGGGCTGAGGGGCACTGACAGATGCTCCACACTCAGCAGCTGCTGCTGTCACCAGGGCTGGCGGCTGCCTCAGGGCTGGAGAGGACCTCAGCCTCTGGGTCGGGCAAACAGAAGTTGGGATCGCTGGGCTGCCTCTCACTCGCTGTGACTCCCTTTGCAACCCCTGCCCCGGGAGGGCCTCTGAGCAGCACGTGAGGTGAGACCTACTCTGGCCCCCACAGGCAGACTGAGGGGCCCACAGGGGAAGACCAAGGGCAAGCTGTGGACATGGTCCCGCTGACTGGCCTGCAGGGCTTCTCCTTGGGTGGAGAAAGGGACAGAGACACAGAGAGATGGAGACACAGAGAGATGGAGAGACAGGGAAGGCACAGGGTCAGGGAAAGAGGAACCAGGGCAGGAGTGGGCAGGATGTCTGAGGCTGTGGGAGCCAAGCCCTAGATGGTGGGGCTGGCCCCTGGGCACTGTCCCCACACCCACCCCCAACCCAGCAAAGAGAGCAGCGCAGCCCAGGAGCTGGAGCAGAAGGTCCCCCAGAGGCTGGTGCAAGGGTGTTGTCACCACCTGCCCCCCAGCTGGGGCTCCCCCCTTTCCCAATGCCCCTCTACTTCTCCTCCCAGTCTGCTTGAGCCAGGTGCTCTTTCCCATCCTGTGCTGCACTGAAACCCCTCCCTCCTCGGGCCCTCTCCCAGCCAGGGCTGGAACCCACCCTTCTACCTCTCAGGGCGCTCGCCTCCCTGCTGGGCCATGCTCTCAGGGCCCAGCCCCACCACCTCCCTGCAGGCTGCCTGAGCCCCCCTCTCTTAAGAAGAGCTCTGTCCACCCACCCGGCAGACGTCCTTCCCTGCCAGGCAGCTGACCCCTGGGGCACTGCCCCAGTCCACCAGGCATGGTCTAACAATCCTGACCTTCCAGTGGCAGGGTTGGGGTCTCATGAGGCTGTGCAGGAGAACTTTCTGCACTGAAGGGACTCTTCTGGATCTGTGCTCTCCAACATGGTAGCTACTGACCGCACATGGCTGTGGGCACTTCAAACAAGGCTAGTGTAACTGAGAAACTGGTTTCTTTTTGTTAAATCAAATATATTTTATTCATTATGCTATTCCAGTTGTCCCATTTCCTCCCCTTTATTTCCCTCCTCCCTGCACACGCCCTCCCACCTGCATTCTCCCTTTTAGTTCAAGTACACGGGTCATACTTACGACTTCTTTGGTTTCTACATTTCCTATTCTAATCTTAACCAACCCCTGGCTATTTTCTACCTACCATTTAGGCTTCTTATTTCCTTACCTTTTCCCCTGTCCACCCCCCCCCGCCCCCGCCATTCCCTCTCCACTGATAACCCTCCATGTGATCTCCATTTCTGTGATTCTATTCCTGCTCTAGTTGTTCTAGTTGGCTTTTGCTTTTGTTTTAGATTAGGTTGTTAAATACTGTGAATTTGTTGTCATTTTACTTTTGTATTTTTTATCTTCTCTTTCTTAAATAAGCCCCTTTAACATTTCATATAGTAAGGGCTGGGCGATGATGAACTGCTTTAATTTGACCTTATCTGGGAAGCACTTTATCTGCCCTTCCATTCTAAAAGACAGCTTTGCTGGATAGAGCAATCTTGGATATAGGTCCTTGCCTTTCATGACTTGGAATACTTCTTTCCAGCCCCTTCTTGCCTGTAAGATCTCTTTTGAGAAAGCATCTGACAGTCTGATGGGAACTCCTTTGTAGATAACTGTCTCCTTTTCTCTTGCTGCTTTTAAGTTTCCTCCTTCTCTTTAATCTTGGGTAATGTAACTATGATGTGCCTTGGTGGGTCCTTCGTGGGTCCAACCTCTTTGGGACTCTGAGCTTCCTGGACTTCCTGGAAGTCTATTTCCTTTGCCAGACTGGGGAAGTTCTCCTTCATTATTTGTTCAAATAAGGGTTTAGTTTCTTGCTTTTTCTCTTCTCCTTCTGGCACCCCCATGATTCAGATGTTGGAACGTTTAAAGAAGTCCTGGAGGTTCCTAAGCCTCTCTTCATTTTTTTGAATTCTTGTTTCTTGATTCTGTTCTGGTTGAATGTTTGTTTCTTTCTTCTCGTCCACACCATTGATGTGAGGCCCAATTTCCTTCCCATCACTGTTGGTTCCCTGTGCATTTTCTTTTATTTCACTTTCATAGCTTTCACTTTCTTCTGTAATTTGTGACCATATTCAACCAATTCTGTGAGTATCCTGATTACCAGTGTTTTGAACTGTGCATGTGATAGGTTGCTATGTCTTTGTTGGTTAGTTGTAATTTTCTGGAGCTTTGATCTGTTCCTTCATTTGGGCCATTTTTTTTTATTTTAATTTTTTTGTCTGGGTGCACCTGTTCGGTAGTAAGGGGTGGAGCCTTAGGTGTTCACTAGGCCGGGGCAACCCACGTGGCAGTATTCTAATGCCGTCTTTGGGGGAGGCCTCTGTGAGCACGTGGTCAGTTGCTCTACTCTCTGACAGTTTTCAGTCACTTCCCCCACTACCCACAATCAAATTGGGCCCTTCTGGTGCTGATTCCCAGGTGGGTGGATTTGTGTTTTTTCTAGCACTCTGTAGGGTCTGTCCAATGAACTCTGCTGTGAGGCTGGGAGTGTCTCCCTCCACCTCAACCCCCACAGGTGTTTTCAGTCAGAGGTTTGAGGCTTTATTTCCTCACGCTAGAGTGCTGGGTTGCACTGTCTGTCTCTGTCCCCAGTTGTTCCTCCCGGTTTATCTGCAAGTGAACTTGGGGCCACCTGGCACTCCAGCCGTAGCCTTGCCGCAAGTCCTCCC